TTTTTACGAGGACATCGACCAGCTGGGCAGCGGCACCTTCYCAATTAAGGGACCGGACATTCCAGGTGCATGCCCTCAAGTCGTAGTCCTTATTTCGTTTGCCATAGTCGTCATCAAAAGTGGGGTCTCTCATCCGAGGCTGTTGTTGCGTTGTCATTGGGGTGCTTTTTTTTTATGTGACAGGTCCCAAACCCAGCGCACAACGCTATGCAGGGAATGTTTCGCCTTCTCACTTTAGCTCACCTTCAAACGGATGTTCTTAGGCTACCCAGAGGATACTTGGTCAAGGACCGGAAGTCGTGAGCTGCTTGAGTCATATGTAAAAGAATCGTTTCTGGCCACTCCTAAGTGAATGGCGATCACAAAACTTTCCTCACTTGCGTGAACTTCTACACATGACTCCATCCTCCTCTACACATGACTCCATCCTCCAATCATCATCTGCATTCCTTAAATCGCAAAGGAAATATTTATATACTTATAGCCCTGACAGATGACAGCGTTAATTTGCATTAGCGCGCTTAATATGCATTAACTTGCACATTTGACGTACGTTAATGCAAATTAGTAATTCACAAAAATTTCGTGCATTTAGCGGAATTTATCAAATTTTAGTAGGCAACATTGGTTAGAAATGGCAGATTTTTGCTGTTGGTGATTGATAGAAAGAAGATGATGAAAACGTAAACAAAAGATTTAAGGAAAGTTAGGGGTAAGCTTTTTTTATATTGCTAATTATATTATGTGCCAATATCTTTCCAAAAACTAATTTTAATATTTTTGGAAGGACGGAAACAAACAACGAACAATGTGAACATACAGTGTCGAAAATGTTTTCATTGATTTGTGGCGTGAACGAGTCGGAGACTTGCAACGGGCTAAACGAAATTTGCACATCTATGCCGATATATCTGTGCTAATGGGACACAAATTTATTCCAAAAGAAGTTCATGTAAAAATAAGGAATTTCACACAAAAATATATGTAGTTATACTATGCATCAACATAATCTTTGTGACATTATTTACTTTTGTAAAATTCTAGAAAGGAAAAGGAAAAAGTTGGGCCCTCGGGGGCAGGCCATCTGTGGTAAGCTGAGTTTTACTCGTTTATCACTAAATTTTTTTTCTTTAAAACATACMTATCGAATTCAACATTACTCTCGTTCCAGCCATATATATCTAAAGGATCAGCAGAACCAATGTCAACTGAACCTACAGTTTTACCAGCACCAATGTCATTTCAACCGGTGTGTACGCCAGTAATGACATTGACGAACTCGCCATCAGTGTCGTCATTGGGAAGCCCAACATTAGCAGCGGGTACATCTCAACAGAGAAATTACATGGGTGAATAACAACGGCAAAATAACTGTTGAAAATACTTGCAACACAAACTACTTGTTGTAATTATTATATTCTAATCATTGTATTCTTCTTGTGTTTGTCTTATAAAGAAAATTTCTTGCCTGTCTGTATAAATGAATCTTACGAATAAAACGTTTCTACATTTAAATTGTAAGCTTTAACAAGAACAAACCAAATTGCTGAAGACATTGGAGGAGGACGGGAAAATATTGAGAGAGTTGTTATGTAATCGAGTAACAAAGTATTAATACAAAAGAGTTAATAGGTATTATAAAAAATAAAAAATTAAAAATAAAAAATTTACAATAATTGTACATATATAATGCAATAATAATAAAAATTAATTTAAGCTAAATAATAATTTTAGAAATGTATTGAAATACAAAATTTGGTCGATGTCTTTTTGCATCTTCTGCTGCGTCTTGAATCGAAGCTGAAGAAACTTCATGGTTCTCAATCTTTAGAAAAAGCCTCTTCCCATTTTACGGAAGCGCGCTTTAAGCTGACCAAAAGCATTTTCGATCACTCGGCGACATTTAATATTTTTTTCTTATTCATTTTTATTTCACTCTTTCTATACAAGTAAACAAATTTCAACATCAGCTGTAAATGCACAAGTCTGCCGTGTGTCACCATAAAATTTTAAAGCGTATTAGCGTTGCTTAATACTCCTCTAATGTGGATCATTCACAATAAATAAGCATTTCTTTTTAAGAAATTACTTAAGGGCTGAATACGGACATTAAACAGCAACGTATCACCAAAACAACTCAATCATTTCCGTGAGCTTGTTTATTTTTAAAATATACAATATTTAAGATTTAATTAGTTATTGTTAGGCTTTTAAACAAAAAGCAGGTCCAATAAATAGAGAAATACTGAAAAAATAAACAGTGAGTTACGTGCGTATGTAATAAAGTATATAATAGCACATACATATTCTGTGAATGTGTGTATATGCTATCAAGGATAAGAAATATATAAAAATTATTATTTAAATGTAAAAAATTATGAATGTTTACATAGCTATTCATAAAATAAACAACACAATTGATTGCATATGTATTTATGTATTTTGTAAACGTGTACAAGCAAACAAGAAAGAAATAACTGAGTTCGGGTGCAACCGAACATTTTATATTCCTGTAACTTGGAAGAATCACAAATACGGAAACACCTTAATATGTAAAACGTCAATCAGAGGATCGGAATCAAATCAATTTTATTTATACTTACATATATGTACTATACATATATWACTCATATCTTCTTCTTCTTCTCACTTAGCGGACCGCTTACGCGATTATAGCCGAGTTAACAACAGCGCGTCAGGCGTTTCTTCTTTTCGCTACGTGGCGCCAATTGGATATTCCAAGTGCATCCAGGTCCTTCTCGACCTGGTACTTCCAACGGAGTGGAGGTCTTCCTCTTCCTCTGCTTCCCTCGGTGGGTACAGCGTCKAAAACTTCCAGAGCTGGAGTGCGTAGCCCCTGTCTTTAATTCGCTGAACTTTGGCAATGTCGTCATATATCTCGTACAGCTCATCGTTCCACCGAATGCGATACTCGCCGTGGGGAATGCGCAAAAGACCACAAATCTTTCGCAAAACTTTTTTCTCGAAAACTCGCAACGTCGACTCATCAGTTGTTGTCATCGTTCAAGCCTCTGCACCATATAGCAGGACAGGAATTATGAGTGACTTATAGAGGCCGGTTTTTTTTCGTCGAGAGAGGACTTTGCTTCTCAATTGCCTACTCAGTCCGAAGTAGCACCTGTTGGCATTATCCTGCGTTGATTTCCAGGCTGACATTCTTGGTGGTGTTTACGGTGGTTCCAAGATATACGAAATTATCTWCAACTTCAAAGTTATGACTGTCAACGTGAGCGCCTAGTCACGAGTGCAACGACTGTTTGTTTGATGACAGGAGATATTTCGTCTTGCAGTCGTTCACTGTCAGACCCATTTGTTTTGTTTCCTTGAGGCCGATGCACACTCGTATAGAAGATCATACATTTTCTATTTAGTCCTGCAGCTCGAATTATTTTCTCCAGAAGCAGGTTGAAGAAGTCGCACGATAGGGAGTCGCCCTGTCTGAAACTTCGTTTGGTATCGCACTGCTCTGCCTTCTCGATCCTGACGAAGCTTCTGGTCGTGCTCATCCTCAGCTTAGACAGTCATATTAGTTTTTCTGGGGACCAATTTTGAAGCCACACTGATAAGGTCCAATCAGTTTGTTGACGGTGGGCTTTAATTTTGCACACAATACGCTCGATAGAACCTTATATGCAATGCTGAGGAGGCTTATCCCATGGTAGTTGGCGCAGATTGTGGTGTCTCCTTTTTTGAGGGTTGATCATAGCACACCTAAATTCCAATCGTTGGGCATGCTTTCGTCCGACCATATTTTACAAAGAAGCTGATGCATGCTCCTTATCAGCTCTTCGCCGCCGTGTTCGAATATCTCGGCCGGCAATCCATCGGCCCCCGCCGCTTTGCTGTTCTTAAGGCGGGTAATTGGTATTCGAATTTCTTCCTGGTCGGGCAATGGAACGTCTGCTCCATGGTCGTCGATTGGGGCATCGGGTTCGCCTTCTCCTGGCGTTGTGCGTTCACTGCCATTCAGCAGGCTGGAGAAGTGTTCCCTCCATAATTTAAGTATGCTCTGGGCATCGGTGACTAGATCACCTTTGGGGGATCTACAAGAGCATGCTCCGGTCTTCAAACCGTCCGAAATCCGTCGCATTTTTTCTTAGAGTTTTCGAGCAGCTTATCAGGCTCTTCGTACACACGTATTTCGGACTCTTTCTATTTCTGTATGCACATGCATCGCGCTTCCCTCTTCAACTCTTGTTATCTATCCCATCCCGCACGGGTTGTGGTCGAACGTAATGTTGCGATCTAGGCAGCCTATTTCTCTCCGCTACTCGTCGCACCAACAGTTCTTTTGCACTTTCCAAAAACCAATTGTTTCGGTTGCAGCTGTACGTAAGAAGTTTGAAATGCCGTVCCACAGTTCCCTTATACCGAGTGGTTGACGAGAGCTCTCAGAGAGCAGGACTGCAAGCCGAGTAGAAAATCGTTCGGCTGTCTGTTGTGATTGGAGCTTCTCGACTTCGAACCTTCCTTGTGTTGTATGGCGTACGTTTTTTGCTGCACAGAGGCGGGTGCGAATCTTGGCTGCAGCAAGATAGTGGTCCGAGTCGATGGTAGGACCTCGGAGCGCACACACATTTAAAACACTGGAGATCGATCCGGATGATGGTTTTTCGATCCGGTGACAGCTGGAATCTAGAACTACAGATAACCATATTTCGGCCCCGCTTTGAAGTCGATCAGCCTCAACCCATTCATATACGTAAACGAAAATCGTTGTATGCAGCATATGGTAGTTGGGATACTCTCGACCCGATTTTAGCTATTAACTATTATCGAGCCATATACTAAAACAATGTTATCTGGGTTTCTTTAAGGTACCTCAAATACAATCAGTAATCATATAGAGCAAAGTCAGCCGGATGTTCGAAAATCCTGACAATAACTATAAGAGGGATGAGATATAATGTAGTGAGCAAAACATATTCAGAAATTTTCGTTGAAATAACTCATATACAAGTATTATCCGATATGTCCAGCATAGGATCACCTCAGTCGGGAATATTGACCTGATTTGAATAACTTTTGTCAGGAAGGGATTCTGTATAAATTTCAATTGTATAGCTCACACATTGGCCGATATTTTCGAGCGTTTTTGAGAGCATTTATCTTTCGATTTCATCCATTTTCACACTGTTGATAGGAGTTTTTATAATATTTGAGTTTAGCTAATTTGGTTGGTTTAGTAGTTTAGGAGATACATGGATAAAACTTATTAGAGGGTGTGGCCACTCTCACTTTTTCAAAAGTTTTGGCCCACAGATGCTCTTATCTATCGGGATCTCCTGCACCAAATTACAGTTGTACTTATATCTTAATGTAGTGTTTAGCTTTCTAACTTTATACTTTTTCGGTTAATGGCGATTTGTGGACGTGGTAGTGGTCCGATTACGCCCATCTGCGAACTCTTATTTTTTTACTAACAAATTGCATACAAAATTTCATCAAGATTATTACATTTTTACTAAAGTTACAGCAGACGGACAGACATTTCTCGTCATCTTGATCGTTTATATATGTATATACAACCTTAATATAACCCTATATACCATAGTTTTAGGTGATACACACAACCGTTATGAACTAAACTATTTTACTCTGTAGCAACAGTTTGCTGTTTGAAATATTTTTAAGCTATTTGCGGCGTGAATCTTTTCTATTATAAACATACGTTCTTTGCCATTAGTTTTACGTCTGTACTTTTAGTACCACCTTTCCATCATTGCTATTTACTCAAAATTTCGCAGTATCAACGATTTCGCCGTATTTCGTATTATACGTAGTACACACAGAGTACGACGACGGCTCTTCAGTTGGTTTCTTTGGTTTTGGTTGGAGACCCAAACGGTGTACTTTCTACGAGTCGGAGAACATCTCTTGAGGTTTTGAGCTTATAGCGTACTTTAGGACAGTGTTGAGTAAGCCATCTAATCCAAGCGCTTTAA